AAACCGATATCTGCAAAACTTGGCAAGGAGTCTCGGAGAGTCAGGAACCAATAAAGCGAACTATTGGTCTCCTGCAAACTCCACTCCCCTGTCGTTCCTCTTTTATTTTCTCTGGGAGGGGCCCTTCATCCTCCACCTGTGGCCTTTCTCCCAATTTGACCCCTGTTCTTTAGCTGTTCCCTTCGTCTGGCAACTCTGTACATGCACACACTGGGAACAGGCTCCAGCTGTTCTGCTTCACTGACGTCTGACTCAGAAGGCAGCTGATAACTGATAACCACTCCCCTTTCGCTCCTCTTTTATCTCCTCTGGGAGGGGCCCTTCATCGTCCACCTGTGGCCTTTCTCCCAAGTTGACCCCTGTTCTTTAGCTGTTCCCTTCGTCTGGCAACTCTGTGCACGCACACACTGGGAACAGGCTCCAGCTGTTCTTCTGCCTCACAGATGTCTGACGCTGAAGGCAGCTGATAACTGGCATACGGCTCTGGCCCATCTCTGCCTCCGACACAGAGCCCTCCTCAGAGCCTTCCCCAGACTCCAGGACTGGCCCATGTTCCTCCCCAACCTCCTCACTGCCCAAATCTGCTGCTAGCTCTGCTGGCCGCTGGTGGGCCACAACAATTTAGGGCTGCATCAGGGCTGTGGTTCACCTTGGGGGGCTGGGTGGGCATGGCTGACTGTGTGGGCATGGCTAGCTTGACACCACTCACTGGGCGTGGCTGACTGGGTGAGCATGGCTAGCTTGATACCATTCCCCAAACTGCTGGCATGTTTCCTCTTCGCATTGGGTAGACAATGCCAAAGCGATGTGGCCGGCCCCATACATTTTCCAGAACGGCCCCAGATCCAACCACGTTGTGGGCCAGATGTGGCCCACGGGCCTTGTGTTTTGACACCCCTGCTCTAGGAGCGCTACAACCTCAGATAGAAAACCTTGATCATTTAACTTTCGCATCCTGGACATAAACTGTTTTCAACTTCTTCTAAGTAACTAATTCCCACAACATTTGCCTTATGCCCCTGGGATGTCAAACCACCTAGTAGGGCTGTATTACTGTTACTATTATCTGGTGGTGGGTTCTGGATCCCGTTGCAACCGTAGTGTGCAATGGGGCTCAGTATCCACCATATGAACGCGTGCAGCACGCCCGCGTACACGCGCAGCGCCTGCATGCGTACTTACCGCCTGTGACAATCTGCAACACCTCTGCGACGCTCCAGCTGCTTGGCGAAATGTTGTGCAGGCGCTATATGCTCCGTGAGTGTTCGTGGAAGCCCCGAAGAGCTCCAATACCAGTAAGGTGAGCGGGTGGGTGGCCCTCCGGAGCACAGTACTGGAATGGTACCCGGTGCTCCCAGCAGGAACCAGTACACCCATACCGGGGCGTACCAGTCGCAACCCACCACTGCTATTATCCTTCTAATCTTTCCTATTATCTAACAGAAATATTTCCCTAGCTTCTTACGTCTGTAACTTTGTTGTTTGTATCTCATGATTTATATTGATTCCTTTTATTAGTACCTACTTCCTAGTTCCTTCTCTTTCTATACTTCTCAATATTTATACCTCGGCTGATCTCACAACTAAGTATGCAAGGTCAAACCTGGTTAGAATTTAAGGCGGCTAACCACAAAAATATAATTAATTTAGAAAAATAAAAAAAGGCATTGGCAACTATTTCCTTATTGTTTTCAGGAAACAACACAGGCGTTATCTGTCTACTTATCAGAAGTCGAGCTTGACTTGAGGGAAATTTTTACCTTTCTCTAACGTGTCACAGTAGAAACACATTAAGTCTTTGGAATGGTATAGGACAGATGAATGTCTATGGAGCTTCTCAGTCACCCCAAAGATGCTTTTTCCAGAAGGCAACTGGACTTCCTTGTTTTTTCTCCCTTTTGAAAACATTTTCACGTTTCATCCAAGAAGCTTCTTCAGTTATAAGGTTGACCAGGAATCTAATATTTCTATTGACAGCCTTGGGGCAGCCTATTGTTTTGACCTAGGCTTCCCAAGAGCATGAAGCAAATTCCTTGTCCCGACAAAAAAACTCTTTTATTAATTTACTGTGAATTCTGCTCATTCACATCCAGCAAAGTCTTTCAAGGGAGGATTTATAGTCACAGACCTTATCTGGCTTGGAGGACCTGGAAAATTTATTCAGAGAAGTAAAATCTACCACATTGTTCTGAACCTGGAGCAAACTCCATGTCCCAACAAAAAACTCATTTATTGATTTACTGTGAATTCTGCTCATTCACATCCAGCAAAGTCTTTCAAGGGAGGATTTATAGTCACAGACCTTATCTGGCTTGGAAAGCTGACAGGCCAATTATCTGCAAAACTTGGCAAGGAGTCTCGGAGAGTCACGAACCAATTAAGCGAACTGTCTCCTGCAAACCCCACTCCCCTTTTGCTCCTCTTTATTTCCTCTGGGAGGGGCCATTTATTGTCCACCTTTGTCGTACTCCCAAGTCAACCCCTGTTCTTTAGTGTTCCCTTTGTCTGGCAACTCTGCGCATGTACAGTGGGAACAAGCTCCAGCTGTCATGCCTCACTGATATGTGATTCTGAAGGCAGCTGATAACTGGCATATGGCTCTGGCCTATCTCTGCCTCCGACACAGAGCCTTCATTCCCTAGACTGCAGGACTGGCCCTTGTTCCTTCCCAACCTCCTCACTGTCTGAATCTGCCGCCAGCTCTGCTGGCGCTGGCAGGCCACAAGACCTATGTGCTGATGTCATCACTGCCTCTGCAGGTCTTTAAGGTCATGGAAAGTTTCCTCAGGAAAGTCCCTGAGAAAATACCCAATGTCCTTCGAAGACTTTGAAGGGAGGTGGATGGCCCTTTCTGTACTTCCTTATCTTATCTGGAGTGTGCCAGCTTGTCTGGGTGGAGTGTGCCAATGTTTCTGGAGAAGTGAGCAATATAGTAAACATATAAATATGAGTGTTAAAGTCTTCCTTGCTAAGGCTGGGGGTAGGGGGCTCTTTATTCTGCTGAAGACCCGCGTAAAGCTTATCGAGGTAAATACCTGGACTCTGTCTTTCTTTATACCAAGCCACAACTGAAACCAGCAAAACAATAAGTCTTCTTCATAAATCCTTCCATTCCCCACCAGTCAGTTAGAACTGAAGAAGCTTCTTGGATGAGGAGCGAAACTTGTTCAAAGGAAAAAGTCCAGCTGTCTTTTGGAAAAAGCATCTTGGGGATTACTGGGTAGGCATGCAGATGTTTCATCAGTTCAACTAGTCTTTGATATGTGCATAATTTTCTTGCGCCTACAGCCATGCTTCACCTGCTTCACAAAGGTTAAAGCTGAAAAAAAGATAAGACAGATACCTGGCAATTTGGCAGGGCAGCTTCTTGACTGCATGGAGAAAACCATTGATTGCACTTCGATGCTTTGGCTCCGACCGCAACAAGGGGACGTTTCCTGAATCTGACCTGCAAGTGTTTACCAAAATGTTTAATTTATCTACAGTTAATCCATATATTAACTGCTGCTAGAATTGTATTTGCACAAAATTGGAAGAGTAAAGAGATACCTACGGAGAAGAATGTGATTAGGAAAATATTAGAATATTAGTGTGGAAATGAACAGATGAACGCTGGCAATTAAGGAGAAAGAGCAAACTGAATACTACATGGTATGGGACCTATTTTACCAATGGTTAAATAATAAAAATGGAAGTAGAAATAGGGAAACAAAATAAAGAAGATATGTTAAAAAAGATAAGTAAATATTATGACTAGTATGTTGAATATTACAATGTTAATATGGTAGAATTAATATGTGGAATATTATTATGTTAAAGGTTGCAGAATCAATATTAAATTAACCAAGGATGTTGTAATTTTAATTATTGTCTAACAAAGGCATTTGTACCCAGGTAACACACTGTTCAACTGAAGATGGAAGGATTATATTAAAAATAAAGATAAAATATTACTGACAAAATGTTTAATTCTTCTCCGTAGGTATCTCTTTACTCTTCCAATTTTGTGCAAATACAATTCTAGCAGCAGTTAATATATGGATTAACTGTAGATAAATTAAACATTTTGTCAGTAATATTTTATCTTTATTTTTAATATAATCCTTCCATCTTCAGTTGAACAGTGTGTTACCTGGGTACAAATGCCTTTGTTAGACAATAATTAAAATTACAACATCCTTGGTTAATTTAATATTGATTCTGCAACCTTTAACATAATAATATTCCACATATTAATTCTACCATATTAACATTGTAATATTCAACATACTAGTCATAATATTTACNTATTTATTTGCCGTTACATTAAGAAAACTAAATCCAAATATAACCAACATATTGTATTTATATATCTTGGTAGATAAATGGAAGTTTCATTCTTGTTATAGGTAACATTAGTGCTGAAGTCTTTGGGGAGTATCAAATGTAGGTTTTCATTTGTAGGGGAAATGAATGGAATTCCATGCTGAAACTTACCAATCAGTCAGTGGTGTTACTGGGCGCTTTTTATGGTGCTCACAATCATAATAATAGCAATAACAATAGCAATAGTACTTAGACTTCTATACCACTTTACAGCACTCTCTGAGAGGTTTACAGAGTCAGCATATCACCCCCAACAACCTGGACCCTCATTTTACTGATCTTGGAAGGATGGAAGGCTGAGTCAACCTTGAGCCATCCAGGATCGAATTCCAGGCTCTGGGCAGAGTTAATGCAGCTTCAATGCTGTATTCTAACCACTGTGCCATCAAGGCTGCAAAACAAAGGAAGGTGGGTCTTTGCATGATGGGAAGCACCCAATCACACCATTCATCAATTTATGGGGATTGGAGAGTGAAATTTCCTTTCCAATGAAGATCTGAAGCTAGGAATGGGCATGCCCTTTGTATGGGCAGCAGTAGTACAGTAAGATAATTGAAAGATTCTTAAATGTAAGCATTTCAATTACTGCCCGTATGAAATAGGTTTGCATTTACTTTGTATACTTAAATATGTATACAATTCTCATCTTCAGAGATACATTCAAGTCTAGTGCATTCATAGCTATTCTTGGCAAAAGTGTCTCTGTGGACTTACTTCTTAGGTCTACACAGGCATATTCAGCAAAAATATGGACCCTCATGTGTTTAAAAGTTGGATAGAAGTAATTTTTTTGCAGTTCGGCTTTCTTTTGACTTAACACTGAGACAGGATGAGAAGACATATTAGCTGCCCAAAGTGACACCCATCAGCTTCTTTCCTTATAAATATTAAAGAGCTCTTCCTCTCAAAGTACACATGGCATTACCCACGAAGCTTTGTTGGGTTGCTTTTGTATTGTAGCAGAACACTTTCATAACAGTTTGCCTTCTTAAAACTGGTACCTGCTATCAAAAATGAAACTCTCATTCCAATGATCTTTGTCTTGTCCCTGTAAGTCCCTGTAAGTATTACTCGGGCAGTTCATCCCCATGTGAACTAGTCAATCTTAATGAAAACCATAGCCTATCAGAACGAGAAAATAACTTCCCTTTGCCTTGTTGTTCTCCCTTTGCAAAGCAAATATTTTCTCAAAATTAAGTTCTTAAAATATGACTGTATTTACAAGACTCCCTCTTCCAGCTTGGCTTTGGAGGAGGAGTGATTAACAAGCTGCAGCTTGGATGTCTCTCTGATCTATTCTCAAGAGTGGGCCACCGCCAACAGTCCAGTCACTTGTCAGGAATGAGGAGGCCATGGATTGTTTACAGCCACGGACTGTTATTTGCTCGGTTGCCTGGTAGAACCAGTGGTATTTTTTGTTCCCTCTCCAACTATGTGAACCACCAATGCAGAATTCCAGAAGGATTTGGCCTATGGAAGCTTTTGCTTCCTCCTGCTGAGGTTTCGCTCATCTCTATAAAATAGCTGTGCTCTGTGCTTGAAAGGGCAAGGAAACATTCTTTGCGCAGGAAAGAAGTACTCAGAACAGAGAAACAAAGTGGGGCAGCAGTGAAGGGACTTTGAAGATGGAGAGAGCACAAATGGCATAGATTAAGGGGCATGTTTTATGCTGTTGCAGCAAAACCAGAAAAGAAGCCAGTAACACTTTATAGCAATAGCAATAGCAATAAGACTTATATACCACTTTACAGTGCTGTACAGCCCTCTCTAAGTGGTTTTACAGAGTCAGCATATTGCCCACAACATTCTGGGTCCTCTTTTTACCCACCTCAGAAGGATGGAAGACTGAGTCAACCTTGAGCCTGGTGGGATTTGAACTGCCAAATTGCAGGCAGCTGGAAGTCAGCAGAAGTTGCCTGCAACCACTGTGCCACCAAGGCTCTTATAGATTATTCCAACTTATCATAGCAGCATTTTGACAGGAGTCCACTTCAGTATTCAAGATGCCACATAACTCTTATTAACACATATAACGTGAGAACCCAGCCTACATTAATAAGCCAACATAAGAAAGCAAGAAAACACAGTGAAAGGCACCCAGATGAAATCAAAATCCTGAGTGAGATATAGTGCAGTAGATTTGATTAAGCGGGTCATTGTTTAGATCCAAAGAACAAATATTAGTATTAGACTGGCCACCTGGAAAGAAACCATCAATCCCCAACTAGGATGCCAGAACAAAGAAGTCCTTTTCTTCACCTGCACATGGTGTCCAAAAGTAAGAAACAGAGAAAATGTTTATACAGTATAAGTGGATCTGTCCATCATTTGTCCTTTGAATACCACTGCAACCCCTTGAAACCTGGATTGGAAACAGATCGGTAGCTTTAAAGAGAGACATTCTTGACAATAAGTTATCTGTTGCTTTCTGCTCATATGGAATTAGTCTGTGTGAAAACTCTTGCAGGGACTATTAGAATTAGACTAAGTCTGCAGCAGTGATACATTATTGAAGACCAGGTCTCCAGATCAATAAGGCCCTCCACATATTCCTGTGTGGGAAAATGAGATAACGCTGTGTGATTAGGAAGTGTATGCCCTTTAATACGTAATTAGTCTACTCTTGCCAACCAGTGACCATTGTTCCATTCATTTCCCTCACCTCCTGCTTATGAAAGAAGGGATTATTTATACTGGGTTAAAAAAACAGCACAGCCTTTAAAACCCAGGGTAAAGGAGGGTGGGAACATGAAGGGCAGTTTGAGTCTTCCTGCTTGGCCTTCTTGCCTGGGGATGGTGACGTTCATATTGCAGGAAGGAACACAGTGTTCCTGAAAAGTGCTACAGACATTCCACTCATAGCTAAACCAAGATCTGGCACTCTGCCTCCAGCTCCTCATCACATGAACCAGTCTCCAGGAGAGTCCCAGGGGTTTTTGTTCTTGTTGCTGAAGACCTTCTCCGAAGCCGCAATTCAAATTTATTTTCAGATGCACTAAAGAGAACATACAACTTGAGTGTAGCTTTCTGGTGATTTTGTTCAAGTGCTGTATTTTTCCAAGGAGTTAAGATAGATATTGTCCAAACACAGCATACCATGTTTATGACCAATCAAAAAATATGGCTGGGATCAAGAGTACAACATCTGTTGTCCCTCTTCTGAAAAAAAGTATATGTAAAAATATGTCTATGGAGATTCTCAGTCATCCAGGTCATGGCTGTCTCAATGGTGCTTTTTAAAGAGACAGCTGGACTTTCTGATTTTTCTTTGAAGATGTTTCGCTTCTCATCGAAAAAACTTCTTCAGCTCAAAGAAGCTTCTTGGAGGAGAAGTGAAACTTTTTGAAGGAAAAAAAAGAAAGTCCACTTGCCTTTTGAAAAAGTGCACCTTTGGGACAATATAAAAATACATTTTGATTTGTGCTTTCTAGTCCATAAATATTTAATAATGGAAGAAGCATACAATTTAGCCATTAGGCGCCCATTGTATTTCTGTTTTGGTGAAGATGCTATCATACTGTATAGATGACCTCTCAATAGTGTCAGGCATTTCACTGATATTATTTTATAAACCTGCTCTCCCTAACCTGTAGCCTGACAGAGTGCATGGTCAAGTTTCTGTAAAAAAAGTTCTATACTTATTTCAGAAGCCATAGTGAAAGAGAGAAGAAGGGCAGTGGGGTTATTCTGTCCACTGAATTCCCCATCCACTTTTCAACTTGCAGAATTTTTCTAAAAGTTGCAGAAGCGTACAACTATCACTTTTTTAAAATAATCAGATCATTAGCCTAGAGCTGAAATCTGGTTGACCACTGGATTGCAGTAAAGAGTTAAAGTTTTCTATAATTCTTTGCTGCAAGTAGTGGTTTTCCAGATTTTTGCAGCCAATAAGTGTCAATTCTTTATTGTTCTTGAGTTTAATTAATTTGTTTTCTTTGTGAAATGACTTCTAATTATTGATATTTTTTACACAATGTCAAAAATGTCCTCTTGATAAAAAGAAAGAATAGAAAGAAAAGTCAGCGTAGTGCAATGATTGAAGCAACCAGTTAAAGAACAGGAGACTGTGAGTTCTAGTCCCAC